CCTTGAGTGGGAGTCCACACTGCCGATGCAGTGCAGGCACACCCTTGGAGACAGCTAGCAGCCATAAGACTCTCTTATATTTCTGTCCAATAATCTTAGCCTGGATAAAGATTCAGATAGAATAATTGATACCCATCCCTATAAAGATATTTGTATTCAAGTGTTCCAAATTTCGCATCTATGAAAGTGAAAACAATTGATCCAGGCTTGGTGGTGCACACTTGTAATCCCCAGAATTGAGACATTGGTCACTGTGAGTTTGAGCCCAGCCTGGGCGACATAAGGGGACCTTGTCTCATGAGAAAGAGTAAAAACTTGAAACAATTTAGTTGTCTGCCTTTCAAATAACGGTATATTGAGCTCTGTTTAATAGTCACAGCCATTTAAACAACAAAGCTTGAGTCTACAAATCCACTCAGAGCGCCTACTATGTGCCAGACAGAGTGAGTCCATGTACTAAGGATATCACAAAGGGCAAAAATAGAAAACAGCGCCACTCTGTTCAAACCTAATTCTAATGGCAGACATAGAAAAATATATTGTCAGGAAAATGGTAATTTGGGGGCTAGAAAGATGGTTCCGTGGTTAAGAACTTTTGATGCTCTTCCAGAATCCTGAATTTTTGGTTCCCTCGGGTAACCCACAACTGTCTGTAATTTCAGTTCCAGGAGATCAGATGCCCTCTTCTGGCCTCTGTAGGCAGGCAGGCAGACAGGCACATACATGCTTGCGTGTGCACACACACATGCACACACACACACATGCACACACACATGCACATATACAATGCAAATTTACAACAAAATACATAGACGTTATACTGCTATAAAATGTATATGCAACAGACTGGCATGATAGAAAGCAGTTTTGTTTAATGTTTGAATATTTCTGTTTAAATAACACAAATTAGTAATTGATTCTGAATTCAAATTTTTGAGATGCTAAAAATATCTTTTCCTAGCTGAAAACATGAAATAACTCATTTCAGCAATTCATTATTGAGGATTACAATTTTATCAAAATATTCTAATATTCTGATAGCTGTCTCTTGTCTAATGGAAAACTTAAGTCAAGTTACAGGTCCTTAATAATACACTGTAATGTGTGCTTTTTAAGGAGAAAGAAAAGAGACTTGGTTTTGTGTGCCTGGATTCATCGAAGCAAGTGTAGCTACTCAGTCATCCTTGAGGGCACAGTGAGGGCTCCACAGTCACCGCTGCTCAGGCAGAGCTGGATTGTCAGTGTGGGAAGAACCTGCAGTCCAATAAGGCAGGAGTCTGTGTCTGCACTTGGTCTAAATGAATCCATGTTTAAAACAAAATTAGCATATTGCTAAAAAATAAACAAATCAAATGTTTTGCGGTATATTCTTTTCTTGCATTTCAGGTCCTTGCAGGAGCCAATGGGCTTTGAGGCACATCCATTGGTAGAGTACTTGGTTCAGCCATTGCTAGGTGAGGCTGGCATTTAAACATGGCAAACATGGCCTTCCGAAACCTGCCATAAGCAAATGAGAAAATGTGTTATTCTACAATGACATGAACCTTTTAAGGAATTTTCAGTTAAGTCTGAAGACCCACTACTGTCAATGGGTATCTCTAAATACATCACTGCACCCACCTTCGACATCTCCAATAGAGACCCTTATAAATCTACAGGACAGACAGATAAAGACCAGTTTGGCATCACTGATGATGAACGTAGAGGACATCTGATAAACTCCATACTGTGTATGTTTAATGACACATCAGTTACCAAGTGCACTAAGTTCCTTGTTTGAATTAAAGATTCATTTTCACAGGTCTTCTGTGCAAAGGCCAGTTGGATTTGAGGGGGCTTGAGAATGGCTTCCAAGAGAACTTGCAGCAGATTCTGACCTTGTGAAATGGCTTTCAGTCTCTTTGTCTGCTCTACTTCATTTTAAGGTCTGTGTGTACCTTCATATATCTACAGCTAAAGGTGTTTTCTCCAACCCATGCATTTCCCACATTTACACATTTAAACAGCACAGTGGTGACATTCTGTGACTTGCCAAGCTTCTCCATCCAACAGAAATAGAAAATGAAATCATCTGACCTTCACCCAGGAAGTCTGTGAAGGGACAAGAACTTCTCTACTGCACTCCTGGGGAATATCCAAGTGTACTACCCTCTGAGAGCCCATGGCTGCCTTCTCTACTCTTTTCTCTAGAAAACACTTTTCCATATAGCTGGGTGGGATAACCACTCACACCCAGTGGATCAATGACCAACCAGGAACTTTCCTACCACATGATCATTTGAGATGAAGCTTGTCTTTAGATGCTGAGCTGGTAGAATTTGAGTCTGGGTTGCCCAAAGACATTTCTGCCACTGTGTGGGAAGAGTCTGTCACGAGAGTAGAGCTCTCAATATATAAGGTCTTGATAGTTTTGCCAGTTACATAGGCCAAGTAACCTTAAACTGGCTTGCTGTGCTGCCTGGTTTGATGTCAACTTGACACAGGCTAGAGTCATTGGGGAAGACAGAACCTCAGTTGAGAAAATGCCCCTGTCAGATTGAGCAGCGGACAAGCCTGGAATGCCTTGTTTTGATTGACCGCTGATGTAAGAGAGCCCAGCTAGCCATGGGCAGTGTCATCCCTGAGCAGGTGGTTCTGGGTGCTAGAAGAACGAAGGCTGAGGAAGCCTGTAAGCAGCCCTCCTCCATGGTCTGCACATCAGCTCCTAACTCCAGATTTCTGCCCTGCATCCTGTCCTGACCTCCTTGACGATGAACTATAGAACTGTAAGCTGAGATAAACTCTTTCCTACGCAAGCTGCTTTGGATCCTGGTGTTTCATCATACCATTATAGACCCTAAGTAAGACGGTTGTCACAGGTTTCTGTCACTCACCTCTAAAAGTCTTAAAACACTAGCCACTGCTATTAACATTGCCTTGTCATTTTAGTCAGAAGCATGAAAAACACTACTCACTTCTTATTCGCAGCCACATAAACACAGGGGTTGTAGAACGTAGAGGATTTTGCAAACAGTGGAGCTATGATGGCCATGGAAGGAGGAATCTTTTTCGGGTTTCCAAAACAAGCCCATAAGCACACGATGGAATAAGGGGACCAGGCCAGCAGAAACATCAGTATCATTATCACAGACATCTGCAACAAGAGACGATCACCAAGACTAGCATCTCAAATGTTGGCATGGTTAAGACATATACAGGAACAGGAGAATCTAGGTTAGAATTTTGTTGGTAACACAAAAGAAGCTGGGGCTTTGCCTTCGCTGTTCTTTATTCTCTGAAGACACCTATGATAGCAAGAGCTTTGCCAATGGCCGCGCTGAGCAATATGTGACGTTGTGTCTCATAGTGTTACACACTTGTAAAGAGTACCCTTTCATTTGGTGTCCTGGGAAGAGCACACCGTGGTGGCTTCAAGCACAGGTCCATGCAAACCTTCTCCAACAAACTTCTAGTTTTACTGACAACTGCCCCGTCCCCAGCATTATTTGCTAATCTTGACCAAAAGAACTTTCTAAACTCAACTTGGAAACACTGTCCTATATTAAGATCGGTGGATTCTAACACTAGCCATCAAACTGAGAGCTTTGCATATAGGTAGATAATGTGAAGAGAAGCCCTGTGAGCCTTGTTTACATGATGAAGGGAAGGCCTCTGGTTACAGAGCAGCCTGACAGAGGAAATCAAGGCTATAAGGAGAAGACATAATGAACCACAGGTTGGGGACGTTTGAACCAAAGGGAGACAACCAGCCTTGTAGTCTAACCAATACTGCTAGCATACTGCAGACGAGAAGAGAGAAAGGCAGAGGGAAAGGTGTGGGACTGGTCAGGCCCAGGCTTGACAGAGATCCTTACAGTCTGTGTAGCAGGAAGTCCAGGGATCATAGCACACAGACACCAGAGGAATACAGAGTCACAGCATTCAGCAACATGGGGACAAACAGCAGCAGAAAGAGCAGGAGAGGCCATGGCACCCTCCAGCTTTGTATATTTAATGCTGTGTTACCAAATACACTTCAAGGATTTGATCTCTCACCTTAGTTACATCTGCCTGGTCTGCCCAGTCTCTGTTGAGGTGTGCAGTGCAGTTCCTAGCAGCGTAAAGTCTCATGGACCGACCGACGTGGTAGTAACAGTAAGACATCACTGTCAAGGGCACAATGAAGTTCACCACAATAACCATCACGGTATAAGACACAAAGGAGCTGGAAATAAGGAAAAACCATCGTGATGATTCACTTAATGCCCTAAATGAGGGAAAGGGGAAGAGAAAATAATCGCTAGCGATAGTAACAGCCGTTCTACTGCTGAAGGGTTTAGGAAGAAAGTTTGGCTTATAGTTCATGGTTCACTTAGACCAGTAAACTATGGCGTATGGGCTGGTTCCTGCCACCCAACTATCTTTATAAATAATGTTTCATTAAAACACAGCCATGAACATTCATCTACATATGGCTGACGGCTGCCGTCACAGGATGATGGCAAGAGCTGAGCTGGAGCCTGAAGTTTGACTCTTTACAGAAATGTATTTTAGAGGATTTTTAAAAGTCATCTTTCGTTTCCTTTAGTGAACTAAGGGATCCTCATTTCTGTGGCAAACCTAGAGGAGCACTGTCAACTCACAGCAAATCCTTACAGGGACTCTTAGAATGTGCTTGAATGCCAGGCCATCTGGAAAAGGCCGTACAGGGGTGGCCTAGGTTTTGGTTAGAACTGCCTATTCTCTGACTTCACTAACCCTCTTCCCACTTGTGATGACAGCTCTGAGATGGATAAAGAGTGGAAGACTGTCCCCACTGCTGCCATAAGAGAGGAGAGGAAGGAACGAAAGGTCAAAGAAAGGAGACAAAGGGAACCATATGATCTTGACTTGCAAACAAGCATAAGCCATTCTTTAGTCTGTCTCCCACTTAGATCAACCATCACTACCCAGGAAGCCTTGGGCGCAGTCTATCCTCTATACAAGGAACACTTGAATGAGCAGAAGGCTCAGAGGTGTCTACCTCAGGAGCACTTGAGTATAAAACGTAAACAAATCTCTTACGTATCATTTTTCCTCCAGTTTATGGTACATGTAGCCCCAGTAGGATCCGGGGCATAACTAGCCCACCCTACGATGGGCATCAAAGCCCAAAATAGCCCATTGATCCAGGCGCCCAGGATCATGCTGAGGTAAGTGTTGGTGGTCATTGTTCTTCCTGTTGTGAAGGAAGCACATGAAGCGTTAGTGTTGTCCACAGTGATAGGACTCACTGGTTTCACTAACAACTCAGCACAAGTACTTTGGAGCACACAAAGCCTGTCAATGAGGTTTCACACTCTGACAAAAATGGTGACCTAACATCTGTGTGGTAAAGTGTACAGGACAGGCAGGAGCAAAAGCTTTGCCTGGTGAGGAAAGTGACATATCCACAAGTCCCAAAGAGTGAAATCGCCTGGCCAGTACCCAAAAGTGACAGTGACCCTGGATGAAGCTGGAAAGGCAAACAGGGCCAATCCTGAGCGGCCTCGATGGATCACCTAATGTAGTCTGGATTGTATTAAGTATTGTAGGAAGCCATCAAAACTTTTGAATAAGGATTTCTAGAGAAATAAGACAGGGCCTGATTACAAACCTTTACATCTATATTTTAGAACAAGCACGTGTCGAGTGACTGTTACATAATGAATGATGTCATTGAGAAAGATGAGAAATACCATTACCTCCATCAGGCCAGCTGATGGTCAGGTACCGGTCCACAGCTACAACTGTGAGTAAGCCAATGCTCACCATTCCAAAAAAGATGTTCAGTCCTGCATAGATCTGAAACTCAAAATCAGAAACAGTTCACCCTTCCAGAACATTCCCACGTTACAGTTACATTGTCTATTGTGTATACATGGTGTGTGTGTGTGTACATGTGTGTACATGTGCATGCCATGCACATATGTGGAGGGCAGAGGACAGTTTCTTGGGAGTTGGTTCTCTCCTAGGAGTGTGGGTTACAGAGCATGAACTTGGGTTATCTGGCTTGCATTTTTACCCACTGAGTCTTCTTGCCTGCCCTAATCATTTGTAGTTTTGCCACATTGTTAGAATACATTTGAAACATATTAAATGTTCATGTAGTGGAACAGTAGAACAAAGGTTATCGGCAGGACCAATCACTCTTGGACTGCATTTGAGGCTTGCACAGGAGAGAACTCACGCATGATATCATAAACCTTGTCAGGAGGGAAGAACCTCCACTGTGGTCTTCCTAAATGGGCATGCTGTTAGTCTGCCTTCTAAACATCATTTATACATACAGACCAGTGCTATCCTACACCCTTGGCAAGAGAAGCTTCTCTCTGCTTCTAGCCAGCAGCTAATGCTGGTCAAGGTGCTGAGAATAAGTTGTTGAGAATAACTGGGTCCTCAGCCTTAAATGGGACATTTTTATCCATCCCTCCCCCAGAACTGGCTCAGAGAACATCACAATAGAGGGGACAGAGAGAACGTAAGAACTAGAGGCTGTGGGAAACTGCTATGCAATGCTGTCTTCTGGATGCGATGTGACCATTGCACTCACAAACTCGGTGTGGCTATGGTAACCTGCACAAGAACCAACCAGCATTATTTAACACTCCAATAGTGTTGGGAGCAGCCCTGCTTATACGCTGAAGGCCTAAAATCAGCAATAGGCCTGACATACATGCCTGCTTGCACCAAGTCTTGGGTCTCTGTGGAAAAACACTGAAACAGATAGCTGGGAGTTATTGTAAACAGACAGCTTTGGTGGAAGGCTGCCAAGGCTGGCTCATAGACCTTGTAGGTGGGTAACCTTGGTGGATAGTACCAACTTAGATAAAGATAAGTGAATCATAGGCAGAGTCATAGGGGTCTGTCCCCTGAACCTTCACCCAGCTGACACCGTTCTGGAAGAGATCTGTGCTCCCCCTGAACACCTACACTCCTGCGTCATCCCCTTCCCCACATCCTGCCTTTTTGTGTATATAACCTGTGTGTGCAAAAGTAAAAATTACGATCTGATCAGATTATAGACAGGTCGTCTTTTCCTCTCTTTCAGGTGACCTCCCCGGATTCCTGTTTCATGTCCTGCTGGTCAGGACACAATAGGCTACACTAATTTCATTCAGTGGGTTATGGAGTGTGTGTTATATTCACAAAATAGAATATTGCACAGCTGTATAATAATGAGACAGTCACCTCCATCAACATGGATAACCCTGAAACCATAATATCTAAAAACAAAAGAAAGTTTTACACCAGACATACACATGTTTCTAACTTCCTTCATTTTTAGGTATATGTGTGTGTGACGTTCTTTCAGATAGATAGATAGATAGATAGATAGATAGATAGATAGATAGATAGA